GGTAGCTGGGAGGATCTAGCTCTGGTGGTGTAGCCCAGCAGAACCTCAGATGATGGCACAGCAACTAATCAATCTATTGGCTCAGATAGATAGAAAAATCACAACTGGATCCTGTTTTGGATTGGCCTCAGAATACAAACCAGCAGTATCTGTGTCTCGGAGGGAATCAATCATAGCAGTGAGGCTGGAGGGCAGAGCGGCAGGACCAGCCTTACCTAAACACCCCTTCAGGCTGCGGGCCAGCATCTCCCAGAGCGGAGACTCCACCTAGCCCCTGCTATGTTTTACAGCGCATCGGGGCCCTCAGTACTAGAAAGCCCACCTGACATCTCATCCAAATCTTTTTCTGTGCTCGCAGCATTTATTTTGTCTAAAGACCCAGCCTCTTAGCCCCCTCTGCTCTTGCCCAAAACCCCAGTGCCTTCAGCTGGTCTCCATCACTGCTTTCTGTTCTTGCACTCATGTGTACTCTTTCCAATTTTTTTCACACAGTCCTGAGCAACATCCTCCTTTCTGCAGAGCTCGGTGCAGTTGCAGGGCAGCCAGACATCCCATATTACACTGGCAAATCCCATATCCCAAATAAACAAGGCTTCTCCTGCTCTTTCCTAGCTACCGGCTGCTTTTCCAAACAGCTGCCTGACTGCTGGGCATGTGGAAGCACAGCTACTGCATGCACAGATAAACCACACCTGCGCGGCATGTCCTGCCTGGAGGGGCTTGACCTACCACGTGTGTCTGGCCGGGACTGGCCTGGACATTGATGTTTAAACTCTGGCAAGCTCACATCGCTGCCTGCTGCCGAGCCGGGGCTCTGCCCTCACCTGCTGCCCCGCTCTGCAGCCTTGCCTCCAGCCACGCTCCCCCTCTGCGCGCTGGGCCTGCCTGAGCCTCAATCTTTGCGCTTGTCCTTTTGCATTGTATCTGATTGTTTTCAGACCATTTCTCCGATTTGTCAACATCATTCTGAATTTCAGTTCTGTCTTTCCCCGGCACCCACGGCTTCCCCCTGTCATCTGTGAGTGCAATATGTGGCCCTGCGTGCCAGGCACCCAGCCGCTCGGCCACCCCGGCCGTACCGCGCTGGGGCCGGCCCCGAGGAGCCCCGTCTCCCAGCCTGCCAGCGAGCCCTCAGCTGGCTCTCCTGTCCATTCGCAAAGGCTAGTGAAGTCGGTATGACTGAGCCCAACGTGTTGGGTTTCTCCTGGCTGTTAGCATTAAACCCAAGGGCTGGATCTGCAGAGCTGGGGGATGCTGGAGCGCCAGACAAGCAGTCCCTGAGTCTTGCTGCTTCCCTGCTGCCTGGCCCTCCCATCCCAGGGTCTCTATCCCATGCTGTTGCCCAGGAGCCTGTCACCTGGGTGCTGGTCGCTGCAAAGCCGCAGCCCTCTGGCCTGCATGTCTCGCAGGAGGCTGAGGAGAGGTCCTTGGGGCTTTTACTGCTCCAGTTAGCCAAAGAAGAGTATACTCTGGCTACTTGTCCCATCCAGGCTCATCTCCATTCGGGGAGCAGGCCAGCCACAGGGCTGCACAGACACCCTCCAGCCCTTGCTGCTGCCTGGAGGCTGCCTGCAACTGCAAAGGGCTGGAGGCGGCTGCTTGGTGGGGTAAGGGTGCAGGTGGGCTGTGGAGCAGGGTACCGTGGGGCACCTCTGCAGGCTTGAGGCTTGCAGCCAGCGGAGCCTCTCGCCCTGCCTGCGGGCTCCGTCCGCCGCTGCCCGCAGCTCACCTTGCTGCCCTACCCTGCCCACCTGCAGGGCACTGCCTGCAGCCCCAGCCAGTGCTGGGGCTTGTGCCCACGGCAGCACTTACTTGGGCACGGCCTGATCCCAGCCCCAGCCAGCCTGGCTGCGCTTCAGCCCTGGCAGAGGCTGCAAGGGGACAAGCTCCTGGCACCTGGCTGTCATTGCACACAGACAGTGGGCTTGGTGGCAGGGCAGGATCAGGACACAATGGGGAAGGAGAGGCAGGAGAGGAGGGAGGAGAGGACACGTCTTCAGCTGCAGAGGACTGGACCATGGTCAGGGAAGGATGCCGATGGGTGTCCCCTGTTCAGGGGGCAGTTGCAAATGGAGCAAAGGGCAGAGAGGACACGTAGAGAGGGAAGGGGTCTGTGGTCTGGGCTCCCTGCGGTATGGGGTCAGGCAGTGCAGGGAGCTGAGAGGTGGTCCTGCAGCAGAGCTAGAATGGATCCAGGAGAAGTGGGTCCCCATGCAGCACTGCTCACACCTGCCTGGCCCAGGAAGAGTGGGAAGAAGGTTTTGGGAGCCGAGTGGGGCCGTGTGGGCGCGAGGCCAGGCTGCCAGGTCCTGGGCACCGCTACCTGGTGCAGGTAGGTGTTGGGGGACCAGGCTGCGGTGTCCCTACGTCCTGTCCCTCACATGGCACCAGGTACTGTGTCGCCTCCCAAAGCTGGCATGCCGGCAGCCAGGGCTCTGCTCTGGGATGCAGTGAGCAGGACCGCAGTGATGCTGAGGGCAGGGCCCATGGCAGGGGGACGTGAGACCTCTCACCTGCATGGGGCAAGTGGGAAGCAGGGTACCACCAGCACCCATGGGGGAGGCCTGGCTGCATTGCTGTTGCTGATGCCACAGACCAGCCTGGCAGATAGCACGCTCACACTCTTCACCGCCATGGCACTGAGACACTGGCAGGGACTCAGCACCAGGCACTGCAGACCAAAGACCCAGCGCAGGCCATTGCCTTGCACAGAGAACTCTTCATCACAGGATCAGGCACTTGCTGTCTCACCAAGCACCCCCGGCCCTGCAGAAGCAGTTTGGGTCTGGTCGCTGCATGGCTAGGGCCACACACACGTGGTGGCAGCGCTCGGGCTGCCTGCCCAGCGTGCTCCCTGTTGTGCATCCTCTACGCACCCTGGGTGAGCGGCAGAGTTGGTGAGGCGGACTGACACGTGTACTCCGCATCCCTTGGGCAGGGTGAAGCGGGCGGCTGGGGCTGTGCATGCTCCCTGCCGGAGGCAGCCTATCATGCTGTATTGACCCGCATGGAGGCAGGAACATGTGTGCCATGCACGGATCGATGGGAAGATTGAAGATGCATGTGCGCTTGCCGGACAACTAGGGAAAGCTTTGCCTTTGGCATCGGCAGCGCAGTGAAGGTCATGCTGACCTGCGGCGCAGTCCCTGGGGGGGGAGGCGAGGCATCTGCTGAGCTCACTGGGGGTGCTGTCTCACTGCTTGTCCTCCTGGGACCCCGGCTTCCCAGCCAGGAACGCACCTCCTGGCAAGCGTCGCCTCTCCAGGGGGGCTGTGTGGTGCTGGGCTTGTTCTGGGCAGGGAGCTGGTGCTTCCCCCCTCGGCCACGCTGCTGGGCAGCGTCACAAAGGGTTGCTCGACTTGCAGGTCAGGGCCCCAGCTCAGCCCTTCTAGCAGACCTGGGCTCTCCATTGCCAGCTAGGGAAACTGAGGCAGGGAGCGGGGGGGGAGAGCACGACTTGCTGTGCACGGGGAGCAGCAGGATCCAGCCTCGGGGCACAGCGCAGCTCTGCCTTTGGGGCTGCGGGGTGAACTCACTGTTACATCTGGGCACCAACCCCACTGAGGGACGTAGACAGAGCCCCACGGTCAGGGGGGACAGCTGGGGGCAGGAGGGCCGGAAGGCAGCCCGCTTCCCGCGCTGCGCACAGGGCTGCGCTGCCACGGGGGCCGAGGCTGTGCCCAAGGGCGGATGCGAGCACGCCGTGGAGGGGTGCCTGGGGCTG